TATAATTATAATGATAATTATTTTACCTATTATTTATAAATTTTAAATTTATACACTAGATCGCTAATTTAATTCCACATGTCATTTGTTCATGCAGGAATTCCGTCAAAAATAAGGTATAATAAATTTTTTTATTTTTCTTATAATTTTTTTTTTGTACCTTTATAAAATTTTTAGTTACATAAAATAATATATATGCTTTCATACAACGCGTGCTTAGTATACATTGAAAATCTATATTGAACCATGATCGCGACTTCACTGACCTGTCCACTCGTGTCTGAGAACCGAGGCAAATGAAGAGCCGTTGGAGGGTGGAAGTTTTAAAACCGCCCCTAGCCGCCAAATTAGCCGCTCAATTTATTCCATTTTCCATTTCAAACATCAAACTGACAAATAGATTAACCGAATAAGCAAAAAGAAAATCGAAACCTTGAAAAATGGAGCGCTTGATTCTGGCTTTCGTCTGCTTCATCACCGCTCTCGTCGGCATCATTACTAATGGCGTCGTCGGAGTTCAGATTCTCTCCAAATCGAAGCTTGAGAAGTGCGAGAAAACTTCGGATTCCGGAAACTTGAATTGCTCAACTAAGATCGTCGTTAACCTGGCTGTCCCAAGCGGATCGGTGTTTACTTCTTTTATCTTTCTCTAAACAAATACTCCTTATTTTTGCTAAAAAGTTACTTCATAGATATAGTAAGATCGTATATATAGGTTACTATGGGATAGTTTCATGAGCTTATTGTGAAATTCAACATTAAATGTCATTGTCATCTTCGTCATTGTTATTAATTGTTTTTCAGAACGGCGGAGAGGCTTCCATTGTGGCGGAAATAGTGGAGGTGGAGGAGAACTCCACCAATAAGATGCAAACACTAAGGATACCTCCTGTTGTAACTGTCAACAAATCCGCAGCATATGCACTTTACGAGTTAACATACATACGGGTATAGTAACTATCTTTGTAATCTTTTTATTACGTTCCGTGGAGAGATCGTCCTTTCTTCACTAGTTGCCTTTTTCATCCAGAGGCTAGATGCATGTTCACTGTTAGCATTGGCCGTGAGGGAGAGCTGTTGTATAAAAATTAAGAATCACATATATCACAGAGGGGAAAATGTAATATAGGTTGTTAGATGTGGTAACTCGTTATCTAGTTATTAGATTTTGGAACACATTACATATTTTGGTCTTGTGAAGCCCTACATCTGACTCGTTGTAGAAACTATTCCAGGATGTTCCTTATAAACCCCTGGAATATTATGTTAAGACTCGCAGATGTGATCCCGGTGCTGGTGCAAATGTTGTGAAGATATGTGAAAGGCAAGTACCTAATGGTTCTCAAATTAGGTTTATCATTTCAGTTTGATTGTTCCTTGTGTCGGGACTAAATAATTTTATTCAATGCCTAGACCTTTATCTTCTTTCTGGAATTTATAATAGTTTACTTATTTTGAGAAAAGTTAACATCACTTCAAAAGATTTAATTTAGTGAAGGGTTCCTAACATAATGTTGCTTGAATTTAAACAATAAAGTTGGGCTTTTTCATATTAGTTGATTTGGTCAGTTAACTAAATTAGTTCATAATGGTGTATAATCTGAGATCCTGGCTTCAAATATTGGAAGCTTCACCCTTTTCATTATTTCTGGTTTTTACCCTTTTGTTACATGTGGTTGGTTTTTCATACAAAGATCACTACTCAGTGTTTCGCTTGCATTTTTTTCTCATGCTTAATGAGTGTGCTCTTTCATGTTCATTTAGGCTTTTGGCATAATCATCAATCAGCCAAATTATTTCAGCAGAAGCAAAAGTTAGCAAGTAATAGACTTGCTTCTTTGAAGTCTTTCAGCATGTTTGTAATTTCTGTTTCAAAATTTGCCTGGTATTATATATATAACTGTCTAATATATTTTGCTATATCTTTGTGATTATTTGAATATTCATACTTGCAAATAGTGGATAATCATACAGATATCCATCTTTAGAAATTATTTGTATTGCTGTTCTATGTGGTATATATATTTCTGACACAAAAACAAAACTGGCACGTCTGTGAGATATGAAAATTTGTAATTAAATTTTCTGTTTATTGAATTTTTATTCATGATACTTAATTTATAACAGTTGAATATATATAGGAAAAAATTAGAGAGAGTTTTAGTAAAAAACTAAAAACAACTCAGTCCCATAAAAAAAAGAACTTCCAATTATGGAAGTAGGATATGATTCTGCTTTATAAGAAGATTTATTGGAAGATACCCATCTGTATAGGAATTGGACTTCTATAAGAAGCCGGATTCCTAAACTCCCTCTCAAACTGATTTGAAGATGTTGAGCAAACCAAGTTTGAAACTCAATTCTTTGAAAGTCTTCTTAGATAATGCTTGGTGAAAATATCTACAGTTTGATGATAAAACTGAATTTGCTATAAAGATAGTGCTCTTGACTCTTCTTTTCTTTAACAAAGTGGTTATCAATTTATATGTTCATAGTTTGATCATGATAAATTGAGTTCTTTATTATATTTATTGTGAATTGATTGTCACATAACACTTTCGTAGACTTTAAAACGGGACTTCTCAATTCACCAAATATCCTTTGTAGCCACATTACTTCATAAATGCCATGTTCTAAATCTTGAAACTCAACCTCAGCGCTACTCACTAATACCATGGACTGCCTTTTACTAAGTAAGTTTCTTCATATCTATGTACGATACCTAAATGTGAATATTCTATTAGTTATAGAACCTGTCTAGTTTGCATGAGTATATACTTCAATTTCGTCTTATATTATTTTTGAAGAAAAAGCTTTATCCAACTATCATTTTTAGATACTTGAGAATTCAAAACACTAGCTCCATATATTCTTCAGTTGCATTATTTATGAATTGACTTACCGCACTGATGATAAATTGATATTTGATATGATATTGTTCCCGGTAGACGTTGGTAGATTTCTTTGTCAACTAGAGCACTATTAATTTTATTTTTCAGTTTAATATTAGGATCTATGGATGTATCTACGAGCTTGCATTCAAGCATTCTCAGTCTCTTTTAGAAGATCCAACACATTTTCGTGAAGAAACTGAGATTCCTTTCTCTAATATAGCAATTTTCATTCTCAAGAAGTATTTGAAATTTTCTACATCTTTAATATCAAATTCTTTAACGAAGACATTTTTTTAATCTGATTATCTCCTTTTTGTCATCCATTTTAATTATTATATCATCTATATATGCAATGAGAATTGTCTTTTTTTTTATGAAGGATCATGCTTGATAAATATATTATGATCTGTTTGACATTAATTATGTCCAAATCTCTTAATTACCTCAATGAATTTGTCGAACCATGCTCTTAAAGATTATTTAAGTCCATAAAGGGACATTTTGAGTTTCTAAACTTTTTTGTTTGTGACTTGACTTTCAAAACCAGATGGTATCTCCATATAGATTTCTTCCTCCAGTTCTCTATTATGAAAAATATTCTTCACATCTAGTTGGAATAGTAACAAATCCACACTGGTAACTAAGGACATTAGTATCCAAACTGTGTTAAGTTTTGCTATTGGTGCAAATGTCTCATGATAATTGACTCTATAAAATTGAGTAGGAGCCTTTGGTTATTAATCGAGTTTTGAACCTGCTATGATTAACATTATACTTGATTATAAACTCCAATTTATAGCCGACTGAACATTTTTCATGTGATAATTCTGCAATTTCTCAAGTTCTATTCGTTTTTAAAGTTTCGATATACTCCATAATTACAATTTTCGATTCAAGTATTTTTGACACTTCATTTACATTCATTATCTGTATTTTATCAATATTATTAAAAAATATTTGATGAATTGATGACGAACTTTTTTATGAAACAAAATTGTGAATTGGATGATCAATGAATGTTCTTTTTTATTTTCTTAAAACAGTAGGTTTATCATCATACAGGTTATCAAGGGAGAGATATGAATTTGGATTACCTAAAGTATTCAGTAATATTATATCCTGATTTGGATTAGATTCATGACTCTAATAAGGTGGTTGTGACTCTCTCTTTTTGGTTCTTGTAGACCAGAAATTCAGGTTTTTCAGTATGGTTATTAGGTTTACGTCCAGGTGTTTCATCTTGACTTACGATTTTTAAAGATTGAATAGGTTTAATTGGAGGAAAATGAAGGTATTCAATGATAGAGTTCCAAAATTGGGATTCTTGTGTATTCTTTTCCTTATGAATACTAATTTTGTAGTATCGTTGGTTTTTACGAAATGTGATATTCATAGAGTTATAGAACTTCTAGGTGACTGGTGAATAACATTTATATCTTTTTTAGTTTGATGAATGCCCAATAAAGATGTATTTTATTGATTTAGTGTATAGTTTGCTTATATGATGGTTGTATACGTAAACAAAGGCTGAACAATCAAAGTTTTTGATGGGTATGATAGATAGAAGTCGAGTGGTAGGAAATATTGGAATATTACTTGGTAGGGTATTTGAAACTCAATGACCCGTAAAGACATTCTATTGATAAGGTAAGTTGTAGTTGGAATTCTGCCAAAAAAAAATTTTGGAACTTGAGTTATAAACATGAGGGATCGGACAACTTTCAAGAGATGTTTATCTTTCCTTTTGATCATCACATTTTGTTGAGGATTATTAACACATGAATCTTGATGAACAATCTCCTCTTTTTCAAGATACATATCCAACTCCTTTTTAAAGTATTCTTTTGTATTGTCTGTCTTCAACAATCATATTTTTGTCTAAAATTGAGTTTCAACCATATTGTTGAATTTTTTGAATATATGACTAACTTTTGATTTTCTTTCAGTATAAATAATATTATTGATTCTAAATGGTCCCCATATATCACTATGTACTATAACAAATGTTTTAGAGACTTTGTACGACAAGTGGGATATATAGAATGAGTATATTTGACAATTGACATACTTTACAATGAAAATTTTTTGGATTTTTATTTATGAATAAAGGAGGAAATGATTTTTGAAAGTTTACAAAGTTTGTGTAAGTAAATTGGACTGTCTAAGGTTGTGTAAGTAAGGTTGGACTGCCTAATTAATAATATTATAACATAACTGTACTAAGGTTGTGTAAGTAAATTGGACTGTCTTGAAACTCAACACATATTGCATTATTGGATTGTCTCCTGAAAGATCCATTATTGTTAAAAGAAAGAGTCAGAGTACACATTAATATTGCCAATCGTACTACTCGAATCCAAATTCTAAAATTTACATAAGTTTGAGAAAAATTTAGCAATATAGTTATGATCTTTAGGTAAATTTGTTTATTGATAACGAGTTATAACCCAAATTAGGTACATGAAGTACTCCCTTTAAGATTAACTCATTTGAGATAGGGATATCACCTATTCTGGTTACTTTTGAATGAGATTCATTTGCTATTTTTATGGAAAGATTCTCATTACATGAATTACATTTTTGGAATAATATTTTATTTCCCGTCATGTGGTCAGATGCTCGTGAGTCAATGATTCAAATATCTTAACTTCCTAAAATAGTATTAAAAGCAGTAAAAAAATTAGTTTTTTGGGTTGTTGCCCTAAATCATATGTTGTTACTAATGGAGTATTGGTATAAGAATATTTTTTTGGAGGGTTTCTAACTGCTCTTTCTTGAATGGACATGATTCTCTAGTAAAGACAGTTTCGTCAATAGAGACATAATTTTTCTTATTTTCTTTGTCCATAACTGATTTTGTGGTCCTGAAATCGAGTTGGTTTTTCATGAATTTTCCAAAATTGTCTTAATTATTACTTGATTTTGTGTAATGATCATACCTAGACCTTTTTCTTTGCCAGTTGTCTGAGTTGGGATTAAGAGTCTCGAACAGCTAAGACAAAGTTTTACTCAATAATAGAGTTTGTGAATCCATCTTCCAACATCATTTTTTTTTTACTTCCTTCTCTCTTTACATCGAAAAGTACCTTACGAATACTAGATAATGGTTTCATTTCCAATATTCTTCCCCGAACTTCATTTAGATTTTTATTCAATTTCATGAGAAATTTAAAATTTTTTCATTTTCAAGATAGTTTCATGGAAGTTCCTCAAACACATCGAACAATTGCCAATAATGAGTGAGTATACTGTAGAATTGGGTTATAGGTAGATCTCCTTGTTGTAAATTGTGGAAGCTGGTTTTAATGATAGAAATTTTTGATGTGTTTTCTTTATTCGAGTAGAACTCTTTGACTGTTTCCCAAATTTC